AAATAATCGTAAAGCAAAAAGTCAAACCCCGAAAATGGTGAGAAAAGCGGCCATCAAAATATGTAGTTGGTTTTTGGTTTTTTTTTTTAGTTTTTTTATGGCTCTTCCCAATTAGAAATCCAGTCGGTTGACTTCAAAAAGGGCTAGTTTTGTGTATTAATTTGTCAACTTGACAACAACAAGAAAATAAAGAAATGTAAAAAATATATAAAAAATATATGCATATATATAAATGTAAAGACCAAGCCAGAGTTATCAATGGAGCCTCAGTCTTAGCCTCCGTCTCCGTCTCAGCTTCATGCTAATTTAGTTATAAACATATTTTAGCCCGCACTCAACTCTTGGCCATATATCATGCCATATTTCTTGTTTCGGTTTAATGCTTCATTTCTTTGAATTTCATAATTACACGGCTTTGACCGCTCAACGTGCCTGTATTTCTTTGTGTTTTTTCTTTATTTTTTGTGGTAACTGTTTCGGTTTTTGTCATTGTCAGTTTTTCCTGAATGAACTTCGGCTCTGGGCCAACTGGTTTTCTGTCTCTTCTGGGGCTTAATTAATTATTGTTGTATAATTTGTAGTTGGCTGCTCATAATAATTCACAAGAAGTGCTGCTGAATGAATGCCAGCATTTTCACACACTTCCGGTACAGTTGGCCAAGCGAAAATAGAGTCGAGCTCAGAGAGACTTCCACTTTGACTTCGGCAAAAAAAAAGGGCGTTGTGGGCAATGTCAATCAATTGGTTCGCCAACTTGGTTGGCCAGTTTCGCTGGCCCCAGACTCCCGGGTTCCCTTGGCGGGTCTCGAGCCAAGCAAAAATGGCAGCTGACTGACAGACAGATCGAAAATGCTGTTCGCCAGCGCGGACCCAGGGCTCTTGGCCTGGCCAACAACAACTGGCTGCGGCTGTGGCTGCTGCTGCTAAAGCTGAGGCTGCTGCTACCAACAGCAACTGTGGCGGCTAACTGAAATTGGCCAGCAGCCAGCGATGGCAGCGTGGCACGTAGGAGGAAACAATAATACAAAAAATAACAATAAATAATTAAGAAAATAAAGTTAAACTATAGAAAAATCGTAAGAAAAGTTATTCAAGAATCAAAGGTATTTGAAGATATTTTATAAATATTTTTTAAGGTTTAAATAATCAAAAAAAATTAAGTTAGTCATGTTTAAAGATTAAGAACTAATATTTAAATTTATTTTAAACATATTTTATAAGGTTTAAAAATTATTTCTTAGGCAAAAGAACTTATTTTGGAGCCCAGAATAAATCATGTTCTCATGCTCTAAAATCTAAAATCTAACTAATATTTAAAAAATATTTAACCTATATTTTATTGCCTTAATATTTTCTAAAACCAATAACTAATATTTAAAAAATATTTAAGAAACCTTTTTATTACCCATGTATTTTCTAAAATCAATAACCAATTTTTAAAAAATATTAAATCAACATTTTGTTACTTAAATAAATATTTAAAAAGTTTTTAACTAACATTTAATTACCCAAATATTTTCTAAAATCAAGAACATATATTATAAAATATATTTAACCTTAAAAAACATTTAAGAACTCCCATCCCTAACTCCTTGATCTGCAAACTGAAACTGGAAATCGGGGCGTCTGGGGCTGCCACGATTCGCTGCCAGCCAAATCGATCGAACTGCCTTCATTAAACAGAAAACAGAGCGAAAAGTACGAACAAGAAAAAGTCAAGTAAAATAAAAAGGAAAATAAAAATAAAGGTGGACCAAGGCAACCTCTATGGCGGCTATGGCCATCCCGCTTCGTCTTAATAACTCCTTTCCTGCCGCCGATTTGCCAGCAGAAGCCAAGAGCATGGTCAGTGCTGACATTTTAAAATATATCTATAAATAAATTATATATTTTAAAAACAATAAAAGAACTATACTTAAATTTAAAAAATATTTTTGGACAAATTTTAATTAGTTTAGAAGCTAAAATTTAATTTTATGTTTTCCTCAGGCATAAATATTCGTTAAATAAATGATTTTATAAGTAAAAAATTATTTTTCAAAATATATATGAAAATATCGAATTTATTTTTAAGAAGATATATAACATAAATTAATTTTTTTTATTTTTTTCCTTCTTTAAAAAAAAAATAAATTTAATTTTAATTAATATTAAAAGCATATTTCGAAATTGGCTGAAAAGTTAAATTTAATATCATAACTTTAATAAAAATGTAATATATAAATTATTAGTTTAGTAAATTATTATCAGTAATAAATTTGTTTACTTGTGCTTCCTTTTATTAATATTTAATTTATTAATATTTAATTTATTAAAATTTATTTAATTAAAATATAATTTAATTAGTTTATTACATTTTATAAAAGCTTATAAAATTCATTACTTGTTTTTAATTTTATACTTTTGTATTTATTTAGGGAAATATCTCCACGCCTGCCACTCATCCATCCCTTTATTCATTAACTCCAATTTTTTATTATTATTTTTTACTTTTTGGAAAAGTCCCTTGGCAACTCTAAAAAATCAGCAGCCAAAGGTAGCAACGACAGCAGCCGTGATCCGTGATCCGCGATCTCCGATCGCTCCATTGCTCCATTAATTTCCATGTTGGCCACAATTTGACTTCTGTTCGGCCCTCTCTGGCGCTGTCTCTTTCTGTGGGCCTCGTGCCATCTCTTTCTGGTAGCTTATTCTTCTTTTTTTTTCCAGCAAATTTGCAAATTTGCGAACCGTGATTGCCAGGCACGCAATTTGCGCTTGAATGGGGAGGAACAACAAAAAAATACAACAAAAAAAAAAGAAAACAGAATCTGCAACAAATTGGAAGCCAATAATCAAATGTCAGTCAGGAGCAAGCTCCGCGATCTCTTTCGGGGTTCTGTCAGTCAGTCAGTCAGTCAGTCAGCCATTCAGTCAGTTACTCGCTCAGTCATTCAGTCAGTCATTTGGTCATTTAGTCAGTCATTCAGTCAGGACGGTCAGTGGAACTCCAGAGCTCATTACTCAAACTCGGAGCAAAGTCCCTTTCCACTTGGTGCAGACACTGTCGCAAATTTTACAAGCAAATGATTAAGAGTCTTATTAGAAAATATCCAAAAAATATTTCAGAATTTTTAAGAGCCTCTGAATCAAGTTTTTTTTGCCTAGAAAATGGACTTGAAAGATAATTAATTAATGAATTTGCAATTATTTCTTTGCTTTCTCTTAAGGGGAAAATCTTACAATAAAATATTTAAGAAAATATATATAGAAAATATTTCTTATTTTTTAAGGGTCTCTAAATTATTTTCATAGAAAATAGACTTATTAAATATACAAAATAACCCAAAATTACAAGTAAGTTTGATTCTAAACTCAATTTATTTTACTTTTTCTGACAATTGATACTTAAACTAATTTAAAGGGTTATAAAAATTACCCCGAAATTCCATAAAATATTTAAATCTCTTTAATATATTTCAATTAAAATATTAAAAAAAAAATTTTTACAGAAAAAATACCTAGAAAATATGCAAAATAGTAGAAATCTGTTTCTGAACTACATTTCAAGCTCCAATAATTTCCAGTCTCTAATTTCCTTACCTAAATTTAAACTGAAAAGCTACCTCGAGTTACCCGAATTATTCTAACAGTGTATAGCCCTGCATCTGTGCAAAACTTTTTCTTGATGCCTGTCCGATCCGGCTGTCTATTCATTTGAGCGATTTTCGTTTTTCTTTTGCTTTTTTTTTGGAATTCGATTTTGATTTGGTTTCGGTTTCACGCTTGGCCGCCTTTACTGATACTTTAATAAGTTGGCCAAAATTAATTCCCCGTATTCCAATGAACCCAAAAAAAAAAAAAATATTAAAAAAAAAAAAAAAAAAACCAAACGGATAACAACAAAAGATTAACACCGAATTCCAATTGCGATGGCGATATTGTTTATTGGTTCCACATTACGCCCGCCGCGTATAATTAACAATAAAAAATTTCAAACACATTTTGACACAATTTTAATAGGCAATAAAACTCAATGGAGAGCGTGAAGAAAACTAAGGGGAGGGGTGGTTAAAGGGGGGTTAAAGGGGGACCCAACAACAATGAAATGAAATAATTTTCGCCGCCAATGTGGCCATTGTTCGAAATTGTTGCGCCGACTTACGACTTATTGTTGTTGACAAATCGATAAACAGCTCAATTAGCATTTTTGATGCTCAATCGTTAAGGAACTCCCGACTCCGATCATAAATCAAACCATAAAAAATATACATATACATGTTTGGGGTATATCGTGTGGCAGGGGGAATTCAATTCGGTTCAATAATCAATTCGTATGCACTGCCCGTCGCTCCGCACAATTATGCAAAATGAGCTGTCAAACGAGTGAGTTTTTATGCCCCAAGCCCATTCCCCCCTTGACTTTGATCTAAAAAAAAAAATATATATATATATAAAAAAAAAATAGGAAAAAGCCACAATGTTTATTACTTGTTCGTACACGTGTTGGCTTCATTTTTAATTTATTTAATTTACAAGTAAGCCACAGGAGCTCTTGGAGTTACTTAATATCAAAATTAAGGGGTTATGACACTTGACCGTGGAACAAAAATAAAAAAAAAGAGAGAGTTTAGAATAGTTTAGGAAGTTTAAGAAATTTTAAAAATTTATTTTAGGCAGTGTAACTTTAATAAGTCCCAGAAAATAGCACGTTTATAGATTAAAAACATGTATACAACCAACACTTCATTCCAGGGATGCTAGAACCAGTTGGGAATTATAAGTGCAAACGTCCATGCCCATTTCGCCAAGGTTTTTATACAAAATTGACCAGGAAAAGATTGCACTAATTATTTAAATTTAAATAAATTTTTTTAAAATTTAAATTTAAAGAAGAAAACAAATTTGTTATTTTTATATAATCTACTGAAACTTCTCGGATCTTTAATTAATTTTATATTCTCATATTTTAGATTGATATTCAATTTCTAATATATAGATTTCCCAAATAAAAACCTTAATAAACTTGAAAATTTTAATTAAAATTAAGCATTATTCATCATGAAAGTAAAATGCGAGCTCAGAGAATGCCCGCCTAGTTCTTGCCCTGCTCCTGACTCTCCCTAACGGGATCTCCATCCCCAAGTGGCTGTTGCTCCGGACACCTGACAGCCCTCAGATAGTCCTCCAGGCCCAGAGCCTTGTCCTGGACATTCTTGAGGCTGGCCAGGAACTCTCCGATTGTGGCATAGTGCACAGAGGCCCGGCGATCTCGGCTCTGGGCCTGCTCCTCCTCAGTGCTTCTACGCTGGAACTCATCCTTGTTTTTGGTAGGAGGAAAAGGAGGAGTAGATGGTGGAGGGTCCATTAAAATTAAAAAATAAAATAAACCAAAAACGAGCAAAAGTGGCCTGAGTTTATTTTTTGGTGAGTTGGTATTTAGGGTTTATTTTTTAAAGTAAAAGCTGTGAGAAGGCCAACTTGGTTTGATTTTTCTATTGGGTTATTATATTTTTTATATTTTATTTTAAGCTAAAAATCTAGTTAATTGCGAGTAAATTCCCCTTTAAAGCAATACATTTCCCTCTCTGAACCCTTGGTTTTCAACAGGGCCTAGCTCTCCGACTCGGTCTGTCTCCTCCAAACTGTTGGGGATTTCAATAATTCAATCACGTGGTATTCGTATCGAATAATTGAATAAGTCATCGTGTCGAGCGGCACAAATTTCATTTCAATACGCAGAACGTTTAACTTAACGAAACGAACTCAAAGGCGATCTGCCGATGATTGAACGCTCGAGGAAGGGTTTGGCCAGCCAAGGGTTAAGGCGGGAGAGAGGGGACTCCAAAGGGGACCTGAGACGGAACCAAATGGCAACGTGAGTGATTGTCGCAAAAGCTCAAAGGCGACGAGCACACCAGCTCTTCGAATTGTACTGATTTTTATTTATTTTATGTTTGAACCGAAACGCTCATGGAATCCCAAATTAAATGCGACTGCGACTGCGTTTTAGGAGGGGTAAACCGATATTGGGGTTCATAGCCCCCCTCCCTTCCTCCATTGAAATTGGTGTGGGAAAAATTAAAGGCAAAGGCGTGGCGTGTTCACCTCGTGGCGATTTCAATCGAATTTTAATTGCCCGAAAGTGGATCTAACTGATTGGTAGAGTGTTTTTCGGGCTTGTTTTTAGTTAGAAAATTAATTCTTTTAAATTAAGAAATATTAAAAATATCAGAAATGTGAATTAAATAGATTTATAATTTTCTTATATTTTTTATAATTCATAAAAACTATTATAAAATATTTTTTAACTCGCAAAAAAAACATAAAAAATTTTGTCAAACAAAGGAATATTTTTAACAATTAACAATTTAAGAGTCTCCAAAAAATATTTCTTAAAAGGTCTTTAAATGAATTCAGAAAAAAATAAATATAGATTAATAGAAAGTAACTTAAAATAGAACGTATGTTTTATTTAAATTATTTTAAGCGAAACAATCTTCCCAAAAATTCGAAAAAATATTTAAGAAGCTGATTAGAACTATCCCATAAATATTAAAAAATTTTAACAGATCTTTAAATTAATTAGAAATAAATTTAAAATAAATTAAGACTCATGAATATTTCTGAACTCCATTTAATGTTTCTTTCCTGGCAATTGTTTTCTAAATTAAAAGCGTAACAATTCCCCCAGAAATGCCGTAAAATATTTAAGAATTTAATTAAAACTCTCCCATAAATTTTTAAACATTTTTTTACAGGTCTCTAAATTAATTTTCTAAAAGAAAAAATACCTTAAATATATAGAAATAAATTTAAAATAAATTAAAAACCTTGAATATCTACCCAGCTTAGCCTTACTATTTTTGGTATTAAATGAATAATAATTATTATATTTTTAATTAATATATATATATTTATTAAAACCCTAAGTAAATAAACATTAAATCCACATAAACAAGGCCCTAAAAGAATCACCCGATTGATTGCCTCACGTAAACTGGGTCGATAACTGACCTACAGAGAACGCAAGCCCAGGAATGCAATCGTTTTGTAAGAAGGGGGCTACCACGACGACCTGTATCGAAAATCGAAGCCGTCGCTCTTCGATAGATTTTTGACATATTTTCACTTGTGTGGATCGACAGTGCACATTGAACTCCCTGCCATTCACACGCTCCGTGGGAGAAAAATGCAGCAAGTTCGATTGGATCTTGGCCCAAAAAAAGGAGAAAGAAAACCGTGCAGAGTTAAACAAATCAATAAGAAATACAAAATACAAAATAAGAAATACAAACTACAAAATACACAAAATACACAAAACGATGCAAATGGCTAAAGGCATGTCAACAATGCTGGCGAGTAATTGGCAGTGCTTTCGGCTGATGACGCTCGCTCTGAAGTTGATGATTGCACATCGCTGGCTGTCCTGGGATTCGAACCTCGAACCTTGGTGACTTGGAACTCGGAACAACCTGGAGCTTGAAGCCTCTCGGATCTGATTGCAATCGCTGGAGCTGGAGCTGAAGCTGGAGCTTCTCCTCAGCGGCTAAACATCTGGAGCAGGCCGAAAGGCAGCTCCACCCATCGGTTGGCCGATCACTGATCTTTTGCCGCCATGTACAGAGAGAGAAATTTTAGACAACTTGATATTTTCAGTGTTTTCTATATATCCTTAAGCTTTTCTAAAAGTCCGAAATACCTTGGTTGCTGTGCTTGATCAATGTTTGCCCTATAATTCCCAAGTTGGAAGAAGTTTTATACATTTTACCTTATAATTCCCAAGTTGGTTCTGTGGCAACTCTAAAAATACAAATATCAAACCCTTTTTGGCAAAGAAATTTTAAAAATTTTACCCCTTACCATATCTGCCCTTTATTCTTCATTTAAATTTCGTTTTCTTATGAAATTTAAAATGTTAAAATTTACAAATTTTCTTTTAAGACTATGCATTTTCTCTGAGTGCACTTAACGTCTTTGATCTGTCACCGCTCGCCAATCGAATCACGGCAGACGCGAGCGGCGGCAGATAAAATTATTGAAATTACATTGGCAAGACGCCGTCGATCGGCATTAGGGGTACTTGAGGGGGCATTCCGGGTCGGGGGATATATATATATATAAGAACAGCTGCCGCTGAACACGATCGCCGACACTTACAGGCTCTCGCTCAGCTAAGGCCAATAATTATCGCTTTTAGCCCCAGTCCGGGGCCTGTCAATGCGATTCGAAAAATGTCGTCAGTGTCGCCCAGTCCAGGGAGTAGTAGCTCATCATACACACATGAGGATCCAGGGATCCGGGGATTCAGGGATCCAGATCCGATCCCGAATCGGCCCTGCCCCCCTCGTTTGTGTGATTTCCCATTCGATTTTGTGCCGTCGCCGTTGCTCGTTTTTAAAATGTAATCATCATTAAAATATTTATGGGTTACCTCTCGCTCTAACTGGTCGGCTTGTAATGACCATACATAGCAATTGGTTCTCACGTTCGGGCCACAAAAAAAAGCATTGAAAAAAATAAAAAGAAGAAGCCAACGCCAGATACCAACTTGGCCAACGACCAGCGACCAGAAACGCGTTGCCAATTTGGCGTCATCGTTTGAGCTGAAGTCGGAGTCGAAGTCGGAGTTGGAGTTGAAGTTAAAGTTGCAGTTAAGGCTGAACTGCTGAAGTTGTCATTGTCATTGTCATCGTCACCTGTGCCTTTTTACAGATTTTCAGATTTATTTTTTGCAGCAGCAGCAGCAGCAGCAGCAGCAGCTGCTGTATCTGGATATCTGCTATCTGCGAATCTGCTGGATGCACAGATTGAAAGTCAATTAATTTGCAAAAGGTTGAAAGGGGAGAATAAAAAGGGGGATATATACAAACAAAACACTAAAATATATATTATTCTTATATATAAATATATATAACAATTGATAAATATTAATATTAAATTTTAATCCTTTGCGGAAAGAAAAACGCATAAAAATAAAATTAAAAAAATTATAAACTCTTAAAACTTATAATTTTGAAATATTTATAATGGAAGAATGCAAATGGAAAATAATAATAACTATTTTTTAACAAAGTTAACAAGTTCCAAGACAATTTATCTCTAAAAAAAATTCTAAATAAATATTTTAAAATATTTTAAAAATTTATTCAAATGTAAAATGTATTCTAAAATATTTTAAAATATTTATAACAATTTTAAATAAATAAAAATTTAAATTATATTGAAAAAGGGCATCACGTTAAAATATTTTAGCCGTAATTAAAAATTTTAATTTGAAATGATTTTGTGCAAGAATGCAAAAGGAAAATATTAATAAATAATTATTAACAAGCTAAAAAATTCGAAGACACTTTAACACTAAAAATAAATTATAAATAAATATTTAAAAAATTTACCAAAATGTAAAATATATTTTAAAATATTTTAAAATATTTATTACAATTTAAGAAAAAATGGGAAAAAATCAAACAAATAATAATAAGTAATTATTTACAATATTAAAAAATTCTAAGACTTTAACTCTAAAAAGAATTTATAAAGAAATATTTTAAAATATTTTAAAAATGCTTATAACAATTTAAAATAGATTAAAATTGAAATTATAATGATTACCAAAATCTAAACAAATATTTTAGCTTTTACTTAAACATTTATATCTTCATTTAGTAGGTGACACCTGAACCAATTCAATTCACCTTTAATTTCCCTAAATATATTTCCCCTTCAATTTTTAATTTTATTATTAAACTAAACCTTTTATTTTTTAATTTTTAAATCTCAATGAACTTTAAATTGCATTCTCCCTTTGTTTTCCATTCCGATTTATATCTAAATACTGGCCCTCTGTTCTTCGATTTGTGTGCTCGACGAGGCGTGTTCAGAGCGGCTGGGAGGTTCTTGAGATCGCCGCTGGGTCCACCCCTTAAAACTAGTCTTCTTGTTTTTTTTTTTTTTTTTTTGATTTTTCCAAATGGAGGAGTATTTACTTGTGTATTTTTTCTTAATTTTCCTCTGTGTCCGTTGTCGTTTATCAATTATGACAAATCTTTGCGCATGCGTGGCCAGCGGCATCGCCATCGTCGTCAACGCAGCTATTTATAAACTTGGTAAAACTTGGTAAAAACTTCTTCCTCATATGTGTATGTATGTGTGTGTGTCTGTCCCATTCCGTGTTTCATTTTAATTTGTAATTATTTCCTCAGCTGCCTTCGCTTCCCCTCAGCGATTCAAACGATTCCGTGGACTCTTCTCGGCGTTGCCTTTGCATGTCGCTTTTTTCGAACTTCATTTGCGCTTCGGTTCGGTGACAAATAAATTAAGTGGCAGCCTCAACCAGAGAGGGAAGCCAGTCAGCTTCGAGCAAAAAAAAAACATAACAAATAATATAAAAAAAAAACAAGCATAAAAAACAAGGGAAAAAGCTAAGACAAGAAATGTGAAGAAATG